GTCGGGTTGCTTAGGGCCTTGGATGAGAACTGGCATCATAATGAATTTCCGCTTCATGCACATCCAAGGAGGAAGGTTATACATACATAGAGTCACAGGCCAGGTGATGTGATTGCTGCTCTGCTCCCCAAAAGGATTAATGCCATCCGCGCTTAAGCCAGACCATACGTTCCTTGTGTCACGTGCAAACTCAGCCCAGTACTCTCTGTCGATTTTTGTCCACTGCAACCCGTCAGCGGGTGCTCTCAACTTCCCGTCTTTCTTACGGTACTCACTGTGCCATCGCATCAACTTGGCATGCTCTTTGTTTCCGATCAGTCATTTCAACTGTGGTATTATAGGAGCATACCACATCACCTTCGCAGGAACCCTCTTCCTGCGGGGCTTGCCGTCAACATCACTAGGGTCATCTCGTTTGATCTTATACCGCAATGCACCGCATATCGAGCATGCGTTCAAATCCTCATACGCACCGTGGTAGAGGATGCATGCATGTATGTATCTTCTGCACCTCCAATCCCAGAGGGCATACGACCTTCTTTGCTGCGTACGTACTGTCGGGCAATTAGTTATTCTTTGGAAGCTTCTTCTTCAATATTTTCAGTAGCTTCTCAAATCCTTTGTCAAGCACAACATTCTCTGCCTTCCACTGCAGCAATTCCAGTACGATACCCAGCTTTGTGTTGCCATCTTCGCAATTGGGGTACAACCCTTTTTGTGATCCTCTAACATGTGATCGAACTTCAGCTTCTCCTTTTGACTTTCGGATTGTGTCCTTGCATCGACAATGAGCTAGCGGAGATCATCATCATCGGGCACAGCGTCTGGTTCCTCTTAATCTTCAGCAGCTTCCCCCGTTGCAGCATCATCGCGCACATCCTCTGGTTTCTCTTGATCTTCAGCAGCTCTCCCCACTGCAGCATCACCGTATTCAGGGGGCACATAGTTGTCATCGTCCTCTTCTTCGTCGTCGTCTTCCATCATAACCCCTATTTCTCCATGCCTCGTCCAAACATTGTAGTGTGGCATGAAACCCTTGTAAAGCAGGTGGGTGTGAAGGATTTTCTGGTCAGAGTAAGACTTCGTATTCCCAAATTTAGGGCATGGACAACACATTAAATCATTCTGCTTGTTTGCCTCAGCCACTTCGAGAAAATTATGCACGCCCTTAATGTACTCGGAGGTGTGTCTGTCACTGTACATCCAATGCCGGTTCATCTGCGTGCATTATATATAATTATGTGTGTAAAAAATAAGAAAATCAGACAAGTGTCTATCTAAAGTAAGAAAATCAGACAAGTATCTATCTAAAGTAAGAAAATCAGAAAGAAGATAAGAACAAAAAGCTCACCACGGTGGTGCCAGCGACGAGGTCGGCGCGGGCGATCGACGGCGGTGAAAACGGGGACGGTGTGTGACGGACCGCTAAATCTAGACACTCGGGAAAAATGGAGCTCCGAGGTCGAGCTTCGAGAGGAGAAAGCTTAACTACTGTGGCTCGGGCATTTCATCGAACACCTCATGTGCAAATGATGTGAGCTAGAGCACCCAAATGTCGTCCCCTCGCCGGCAAGGAAAAACAGAGCACTGTGGAGTGCTCTGCCGCGGCGATGGGTATATATAGGCAACTTATTTGTCTCGGTTCGTGGCAGGAACCGGGACTAAAGACACCCTTCTGTACCGGTTCTAGGCACGAACCGGTACCAATGGCTGTGGGCCAGGAGCGCAGCCCATTGGTCCCGGTTCGTGCCTAGAACCGGGACAAATGGATCCATACGAACCGGGACCAATGCCCACGAGGCCCCAGCCGGCCCCCTGGGCTCATGAACCGGGTCTAATGCCCCATGGGTCCTGAATCATGAAGAACCGGGACTAATGGTCTGGCCAGGCCCGAACCAAAGCCCTGTTTTCTACTAGTGTAGTGATCGGGCGCATATTAAAAGGTTGTGGTAACAAATTCTATTCCAAGATATACATGCTTCGACAATCGTCAATATGCAAAATAATTCTTTGTGCAAGCTTGTCGCGCCCATCTACGTTAGATCTCCAAACTTGAGAGGGGGTGCCTCCTAGCTCAGCATTCAAATACTCACAAGATGGCAATATTTAGCTTATGAGTATCTGTTGGGTTGAAACATTGCCTTATGAGCTCTTCGTCCCAAATCCCAGAATTTGGGTCAATGAGATCATTGACCATTGTTATTAAGGTGTGTCCTCTGGGGTTAATAATTCTTCTATCCGGACTGGACGGAATCAATGGATCAGACCATATATGAACATCCTCTCATGTAACAATCCTCAAAATGTATCCACGTTTGAACACCTCAAAGCCTTTAATTATACTTTGCGACGTAAATGATGATCCATTCTTCAAAGTCGCTTCAGGGAGACTACTATAAGGGTAATATTTCACTTTAAGAACTATGGCACATAGCGAGTATGGGTCTGTGATTAGTCTCCAACATTCTTTGGCTAGCATAGCCTGGTTGAAGCAGTACAGATCCATGAATCCCATATATCTGTCACCCTTGGGATAGCAATGTTTCCACCATGAAAACTAATGCATCTTTCTATTCTCTTCGCCATCTCCCCCACTAGAACTGTGCAATAATATCAGTTATCTCTTTGCAAATTCCTTTCGGTAAGGAAAAGAGTAACATCACAAAGGCAGTGATAGCTTGGGCTACTGATTTTAACAAAATTTCTTTACTTCCTGTTGACAACTGTTTCTCCATCCATCCAATTAGCCTATGTTTAGTTCTCTCACAAAAGTGTTTAAAACAGTCACTTCTATTTGCACCCACCATTGCAGGAAGTCTGACATACTTCTCAGATAGTGCTTCAATATCAATATGTAGCTCTTGACAAATCTCTGATCTATAAATAACATTAGTATTCGGACAGAAGAAAATACTTGATTTTGCCAAACTTACCAACTGTCCTGAATTTTGGCAATAGGTATCTAGCTCTTGATGTAAGGAAGCTGCATTTAACACATCTCCTTTCATGAGAATAAGAGTCATCGGTGAGATACGGATGGTGCATTTCTGCACAATATAATTCCCTCAAAGCCACCAGCTTCTTCTTCAAATTGCAACATACTAAACAAACCTTCTACACGTAAGAGGAATAAGTAGGGGGAGAGAGCATCTCCTTGTCTCATACCTCTCGTAGGATTAAAAAGCTCAGTCTCTTGAGAATTAAATCACACCTTATACCTCACACAGTTGATGCAAGACATCATCATCTCTATCCAGCTATGGAATCCCAGCTTTTGCATCATACTTTTAGAAAAGACTCATTCCACACGATCATAAGCTTTATGCATATCTAATTTCACCGCACATAAGCCTGACTTTCCCGCTCTCTTGTTTTTAATCTCATGCACACACTCATATGCAATGAGGATATTGTTAGTGATTAGTCTCCCAGCAACAAAACACTCTAAGTTGGTGAGATAATTTCAGGCATAATACTTTTGAGGCATAAGGCAAGCATGTTAGAAGTAATTTTATGGAGTACATTGCATAAGATTATGTGCCTGTACTGAGTTACGACTTTTGGGTTATCAACTTTGGGTATCAACACAGTTGATGTGTCATTCCAATCCATGGAAATTTTCCTGGAATTTATAGCAATCAAAAACTAAAACAACTTGACAAACATCATCGCCGGTAAAAGGGGCCAAGAGCATTCTATTCATATCTTTGGTTACCTTAGTTTCAACTTTTGCCACTAATGTCGGGTTAGTTCGGTCCACCTCAGTGGCAGCGATGGTTTCTCCATAGATCATAGATGGGCCTTCTCTTCCTTTTTTTTTCCTTTACTCCGTCCTATCATACTTTACCGGAGCACTAGGCCGTCGCCCCTCATGCCCTGGGCGGCTGGGCCAGAGCTGGCCCTGAGCAGGGGGAGATCCCTCAGATCTCCTCGCGGGCACCATGTTTGAAGGCGAGCACGACCCCGTTGGCTAGGACACACCGGCACCAGCTGCATCTGGCGGCCCTGCATGCGAGAAGACCTATGGATATGACCTTGACGGCGGTCGGATGTGGAGGGGATGTGGAGGCGTGTGCGGAGGCCACGCCCGTCGCGGTGCTGGTGGAGACTGTGGGGAGGCGGCGTGTTAGGCGGCAACGCATGGAGAGAAGCATCGGGGAGGTTGCAGTCGGCAAGGGCGTCCGTGCCGTGGGGCGGTGCTGCAGAAGAAGAATGCACTAGGGGCAGGCGAGCGGCGTGAGGGTGAGGGGGAAGAGAGGGGCTTGGGGACTGCGAGAAATGTGGTGGGTTTGCTCGGTATTATTTTTCATCGGTTTTTTATGTGCGGAGAAGAAATCGGGGTGGTGGGAGATTGAGCGAAATAAAACCATACGAAGAAAAACCAGACGAAGGTGGGAGGTGGGACGAAAAAAAATCCGAAACGAAGACTACCAAGTGCTTCATTAGGAGTAGAGATCCCGTGTTCCGGTACTCGCCAAACAACAAAGAACGTGGTAGCGACGATGTTACCAGTAGTGTGGACGGACGAATTTTGATCACAAAATGGAAAGAAGAACTAGAAGGACGGTTTGGTTTGGGATGAAGGCCAGAGGACTTAATATCAGGAAAAATGCATGGCTCGGCCGCCAAACCAAATAAGTTTAGTGATACCATAGGCGTCAACCAGATGTATACAAACTTGAGTGCCTAAAATCAGTTTAGGGCTACCATAGGCATCAACCAGACTACAAACTTGAGAACGTTAATGCAAAAGCGGCATCCACCTCTCGCATATTGCCAAATTTGGCAAGCTACCTCTTACACTGAGTGGTCTCAAGTCTCAGCAGGGCTAGATTATTCACTTCTTCAATGAGATAATTAAGTTCATGAAAACAACTTGTTCAGCGAGATAGTTGTGCACGGTTTATCCTAAGGCTGTTCCTTGCCTCACCGGATTCACTTTCAACGCTCCACCGACATTGAACTTCGACACGTCCTGGCTCCATTGCTAGTTTCCCCTATTAGCTATCGAGCCACAGCAGTGCAATGATGTTAGTATTTATGAGGGCAACCCCAATAGCTATTATTAGGCCGAAGTATGATGGTGTGTGGCTCCTCAGCGACTCACTGGCAACAACCACGGTGGTCTTGTTCATTAGAGAGCCTGAGAATACAAAATATTAGTTGTCAAAATAAGGAAGCATATAGAGTTTTTGTTGGTACAGAAATCGGATCTTACAGTTATAGTCTATCCAACCCAAGCGCATCTTCTCCAAGTTATATGTAAATATCCTATCACGTAAGACAAGATCTGACACAAGAGGGGCTAATCAGTTAGCAAGCATAATATCGTGCTTAACATCTCATGATTGGAAAATTTAATTAGTTGCTAGTACATTCAACATTAGGGCAATACTTTTTTTATTACGATAGTACTTACAAATTTATTTACTAGTTAAACAACGTTGGCATGGGCTGTTTGCCCAACTCCCATGCATGCTCGTAGGCGATTACTTTCCATAGAGAGCAATGACGCAATCTTTGAACTGATCAAGCACTTTCTGACCGTACATGGACTGCAGGTACGTATACCTAGTTTCACCACACACTATAGCAAGGTAGCAAAGATAGCTAGCAAGCTGCTTGATCAATCGCTATGGTGTCTAGCTAGCTTGATACGCTAGCAGATCGAGTCGCCGGCGAAACACTTTGTAAACACAAGCGAGACACAGGGACGCCGTGTATTTTCTTTATTGCTTTTTTGATCTATATATAGTTCGGTCATAAGGGGCAGTTTTAACGCATATTTACACTAGTACGCCAACATCATCTGTACAATATCAAGGGTTAAAGAAAAACAACGAGTAAAAAGCCGTTATCACTCCTCCACGAATGTGGCTGGCTTGCGGACTGTGTTTACTATTATCATCATCATAATTTTTTTATTTTTTTTGAGAATGAGCTTAATTCATTTCAACCCACCAAGACAGAATATGAGTCTTAGGCCTTATAGAAACATGTGCAGCTTAAATTTTCTAATTCAGTCGATGGGTAGATGACTAACCTCCTAGAATAGTGGCATGCTCAGAACCCTTGAACATCTTGCTACTTTGAAAGCCAATGCAGAATATGACTTCGTTGTCCTGCAAATCACGATATGATATTGCTTACCGTTAAGACAATCCCACCACCCCCAAAAAACATTTAACCATATATGCAATTATGAATAAATTTAATGAGGGCAGCTTTAATTAGAAGGTTACTGGAAGGTCAGATAAAGCCTTGGGCACGAGATAGTTTGCCGGACCCACTCTCAATGGAACACCACCCTCAAAATATAGTGCCACTGTTGGAAATTCAGATACATTGCTGTGAATAAATAACCAAAATAATTGGTAAGTAATTCAGCATTTTGACGTACATGCATTAATTAATCTCCTAGTGAGAAAAAAAACCTTTTCCAGAAAATAAAACATTCATTTCCCGATATGACACAATAATTCACAGATGATGGAGCAGCATCAATTATCTGCAAATAGCCAAATATGAAACATTAGGACTGTCATATAGTACAATAAAATTATTGAAGTAGTGTAGACTCTCAAATTTTGGTTCTCCGACAAGAAAAAACTCACCGCTCTAATAACAGGGTCATAAACTCCATCTGGAAGGTATGCTAATGATGTTCCAGAATCTACAAATGTTTCTTGGGTCTTTGATGTTGTAAACAAGGAAGAATCAATAGGGACATTTTGACCATTGACAGAAATGCTCTTCATGTTCACGTTGTAACCAGGCCTGTAGTTTATCGAGGAAAGTAATTGATATAAAAGGATTCAGGAGGTTCCATTGGGAAGGTTAATGCACATTCCACTATGCAAACGATATAGCTGTATTGGTTGACTCTGACCACATAGGTCAACACAAGTTTCTTAGGTAAAAAGGAATATCAAGAAAAAATATATAAATGTACACTTTATATTTTCAAACTGAATGTTGTACATATAAATTCTAACGTAGAATTGGAAAATAATAGATTGTGCAAATAAATTTAACTAACAATTGTATTCTGCCAAAGGCAACGCGATTGTTATTGGCCAAAGCTGTTATTATATCTGCGCCAACAATTTCTATCCTCGATACTTAACAGTTAACACCAAACAGGGAAGAAAAAGTGCGGTACTGAAACAAAATAGAGTGATGTAGAATTCTGACTTTGAAAAGTACTGCAATCAAAGTAATTCTAGAAAAGAACTCACCGTGATGAAACGAGTGGAGTAAATAGAAATCCTGGCTCTACAACTTCACCGAGAACAAGAATGCCACCACCATCACCTGAACTTGTCAGACAATGAGAGAAGGCCTTAGGAGACACCCCTTGAGAGCTCAGTTGCAACATAACAGATGGTGCAGCCTTTCCAAACCCCATAATTCCATCTTGTTGCAGTGCCCCTGACTGCGAGTCACTACATCTGTTGAAAAAAACTTGGTTAAAATATCGTTAGTTGATAGTAGTTATTAGTGACACTATGTTTCTTACGACACATTAGCTCATAGGGAGTTTATATGAACATGACTGAAAAAATAACTGTACCCAAAGACGACGGAGGCAGAAGAAACAGTAGCCCCCTCACTTCCGTTTCCCATGACAGTGTCGAAATGCATTATATCAGACACATAGTACCCTCCCGTGGTAGTTCCATCGGCATACTCCTGCCAGTAACCACATTGGTTGTTTGGAGTGTCCGAGGCTTGACATATCGAATTCTTTGATTTGATAGCATGTTTACACATGTCATCAGAGCATGATATGTTGGACGACGTTGAAGAATTATTGGGGTTGTACACCTCCAATGTGTCCTGGGAAAAGTACAATGATAAAACATGATTACATCACAAGGTAGAGAAAACAGACTGAAAATAGATTCATTCTCCAGTCATATGGATTAGAGATTGGAGAATGGACGCCTTACATAGATTCGACCTGGCGTCGGGCAATCAGGGCAGGGGCTGCAAGTAACCCACATGATGTCGCTACCGGTATCAAATTGCACAGAATAATTTTTCGGTGGGTTGCCCAAAGTCACGAGTGTATAATACAGCCTGAATTTCAAACTTCAGAAATTAGATACAATGATAAGAACAGAATGCCATAAGAGGAAGTTGATGAATCACAAGACAGTGGTAAATAAAAACTGAAGAACAAAGAGAGACATGTGAAGGGCAAAAGAATAGTTTGTTTTGTGTTCACCACGCAGAGAGACCAAAATAAATGGAAGTGATTGTCTGGTGGCTAGAGTCATGTTGGTATGCTGGCTCACTCTAGCTGCGTACCCCGGCTCGGTGATGTGCGATGTTACAGACGAAAGTCTTGCCCGTCTTCGGTCGGTGTCTAAGCTCGCGGTTTTGGTTGGGGCCACACACATTCAGACGGTAGGCTGAAACTGAACCAGACTAACAACTGAATATATACTACTAGCAGATCATCATACTGAAGCTCACATCTTCAGATCAGCAGCACACATCCTTATACTAATTACATGAACTAGGGGATCGCAAGTTCGCAACTGGTAGGGGATGGTTGGTGTTGATTTAGCTGTGAACAACAGGCACAGGCAGAGAAGAGCAGAGCTTACCCGGGCATGCCCACCAAGTCGAAGTCCGGCACGCTCGTCCTGCTAGCGAACCGCTTCTTGTCCAGGTTCTGGAGCGTCTCCAGGGACGATGCCGGCAGCGGCACCGTGCGTTGGAGCAGAAGCGCCGGCCTCGACGCGGCGGACTTTGCCACAGCGGCGGCGGCAGCGGCCAGGAGCACCGCCACCGCCATGAACCAGGCCGCTGCGGCAGGCTTCATGCGCCGTTCCAGATGCTCGGAGGCGGCAGAAGCTCAATGCAATGAGTTGTTTGCTGCGCGGGCGCGGGGGGAGGGGGGCGGGGCCGTGGGGGGATGATTGACTGGTTCTTATTGCATTGTCGGTCCCGCAGGCGACAATACGAGACAGGGATTATTTGTGCTAGAATTAATTTACAAATTGGTTTAACTTATTAATAATACATCTCCGACTTTACTCTTTTTTTTGTGGGGCTCTAACTACTCCTTTGACTTTATAAAACTAAGTTATTCAAAACAAAGTAATACAGAAAGTATCACAAAATTTAAAAATATATTTTATGATGCAGTTTTACTGTTTCTTATAGCAACAAAATACTATGACAAATGAAAGTGAAACCTACACCTTCAAGAATACATCTGGAATAATAGTTTGTATATGGCAAGAATAAATACGTACTCCGCTTTTGGCACGCTAAAGATGAGAGGAGGAGAGCTGGTCTCCCCTTTACTTTTTTCTCTCGGTCTCATGCAAGCCTCAGCGGAGAAAGAGGAGCATCTCCATCTTTATTTCCATGTGAAGTGACATGCCCCATCAGCGCCCGTGCACGCCCTCCTCTCGTACAGTACAGGGTTTCCTTTCTCTTTTGTGTGGTCATCATGTGAGCACCGACATGCGAATCAGTACGAGGACGGTGGACTGCATGTGTGTGATCAGGGGCGTACCCATGTTTAACTACCCAGGTGCACAGGACACCGGGTGCAAAACTTTTTCTTTGTAAGTTCCTTGCAAAGTTTAGTGTGTGACACCCCATCTTCAATTGGAATTTATGGGTGATTATATGCTAGGACACCTGATCATTTCCTTTCTGGGTCCGCCCCTGTGTGTGATTGGAATCGTTTGCATGTCCAGAACTGGGTAGGGCAATCATCTATCCAGTCGCCCGTCAAGCGGACCAGCGACTGAGCGACCGGTGTGCTAATTGTAACTGAACAATAAGTAGAACTAAGAGGAGAAAAAAAGCTAGCACGACGCCGGAATCAGTCATCTAGATCGAATTTTCCACCCCCTTTGAACAGGTGTTCTCTGCTTGTTGTTGCTGCTGCCTTGACAGCCATATTCTCTGCCACCCATTGGTTTTCCTTTAGGGAAGGCTACAACTTTGCAACCTTGTGAGACATGGTCTATCTACCTCAATGCAACAGCTAAATGCTGCTCTTTCGTAAAGATAAGACTAATAATAATAAGAAGAAGAAGCAGATTTTCAAACAATCAATATTTGCATCGTTTCTGTCTTTTTTTTTTCGAAACGGAGGCATAAGATTTGCCTCATCTATTAAATAAGGAGAGAATAGAGTTTAGAGTTTTACAGGACACCCCATACAAGCGACATGACAATTACTCACATACAATGATAGTCCCTAGCTTCTTGGCGCCGGCAGTAACCCATAACTTTGCCTCACCAATGATGGTTTGGAGGAGAATAGGTGGTGGCGCAAATTTTTGCCGAAATACCCTAGCATTTCGCTCGTTCCAAATGGTCCAAGAGGTGAGCATGACGAGAGAGAACATGGCATGCCAATTCGGGTTTCGGTCATCGGTACGCTTGACCCACCACTCCTTGACGGATTCATCAAGATGCCAATCGGGAATGTTGACGTGAGGTAGCCCAAGCTTCTCGATGATAGATCTCCAAAGCCTAAGAGTGTAACGACACTTGAAGAAGAGGTGTGGCCCCGTTTCTTGCTCTCTCTTGCATAGTGGACAAAGACCACAATTTACGCAACCACGCTTCTCCAATTGATCGGCGGTCCAAATTCGGTCTTGCAGGGCAAGCCACACAAAGAATTTTACCTTAGGGGGTGCCCAAGCCTTCCAAACCATACGGTCCATGGGAGAGAGAGTCAATCCAAGGAACAGAGCCTTGTACGCAGTGGCCGCCGAGTAGATCCCATCGTTCACATGTTTCCAAGTAATGTCATCTTCAGCTTGGTCGTCAAGGGGGAAGTCATGAACAAGCATCCAAAGAGTGAACAATTCGCTAATGTGGCGAATGGAGATAACAGTGTTTGGATTGATTTTGAGAATCCATGCATTCTCATAGAGGGCTTCACGCACCTTCCAATTCTTTCTCCTTGAAGCCTCGTAGATTAATGGAGCAATATCCATGGGTTTCCGCCCAAATAGCCAAGGGGAGTCCCAGAACGGTGTTTTTGCACCGTCACCCACAGTGATAGTTGTAGAGGTGTAGAAAAACTCGAGGTCCTCGGCGGTGCAAGGGTTACCAAACCCCACCCAAGGCTTGTGGGGCTCCTTCCATTCATACCACAGCCAACGAAGACGTAAAGCTCGCGAAATTTTTTCGGTGTTGAGTACCCCCAGGCCACCATATTCCTTTGGCCTACAAACTATTTTCCAATTGACTTTGCACTTGGCTCCCGTTGTCTTATCCGCACCGGACCATAGGAACGACCTCTCCAATTTATTTAGGTTGTTGAGCGTACTTGGCGGCACAATGAGAGGCGTGATTGAGTAGATCGCTTGGGATGAAATGACTGATTTGACAAGTGCCGTGCGGCCGATGGTAGTGATATTTTGGCCATCCCAAGTGGCCAATTTGCTCGCCGCCTTGTCCTCAAGGTATTGGAAATCCACCTTTCTGAGCCGCCAAACAGAGAGAGGCAAGCCAAGATACTTCACCGGGAAAGTAGCACGAGTTGCAGGCAAGCTCTGAAGAGTGTGCCCAAGATTAAGATGACCACATCGAATTGGGACAACGGAGCTTTTCTGAAAGTTGGTGCATAGACCTGTCACTTCGCCAAAGCCTCTCAAGATGGAAGCCAGATTGTCAACGTCTCTTTTGATAGGAGCCAGAAAAACAGCAGCATCATCCGCATATAGGGAGGTTCTCACCGTAGGCCCCCGCCCACGTATCTTGTGAAGAAGGCCTTTCCGGGTTGCCAAATCCAGAATCTTATGCGGCGGATCAATCGCGATGACGAAAAGCAGGGGGGACTCCCCTGCCGGAACCCCTTCCCATGCTTAATGGGAAGGCCGGGGATGCCATTTAAGAGAATACGAGACGATGACGAGGATAGGAGTGCGTAAATCCAAGCCCGGAACCTATCCGGGAGACCCAAACGCTGAAGGAGATCTAACATGTAGCCCCACTTGACGGAGTCAAAAGCCTTTCTTATATCCAGCTTGAAAAGAAGAGACGGGGTCTTGCACTTGTGTAAGCGCCTAGCAAAATTACGAACGCACATGAAGTTGTCATGTATGCTACGCCTCTTTATGAATGCACTTTGCGCGTTGGAGACAAGGCAGTCCATGTGTGGAGCCAGCCGGAGCGAAAGGATCTTGGCAATTATTCTTGCGATGGCGTGGATGAGATTGATAGGTCTGTAATCAGAGATGCCTTCCGCGCCCTCCTTTTTGGGCAATAGCACAACATTGGCAGAATTCAACCAATGCAGGTTGGAGGTGTGGAGAGAGTCAAAACACTGGATGACTCTCATGACCGTAAGCTTGATGATGCCCCAACACTTCTTGAAGAAGACCCCTGTGAAGCCATCCGGACCGGGCGCCTTATCACTAGGCATCTCCTTTATGGCGGCCCAAACCTCATCTTCCGTGATGGTGTTGCCCAGGTCGTGCAAGTCATGGGTCTCTATGCGAAGCTCCTCCCAGTTGAAGTCTTTGTTGCTACTGCATCCTGTACCCATGATCTCGGTGAAGTGGGAATGTATGATCTTCTCTTTTTCCTTGTGTTCGGTCACCCACCATGCACATGTTTGATCCGGTGAATGTGGTTTTTCCTCCTTCTGGCATTGATGCGTCGGTGGAAGAATTTTGTGTTTGCATCCCCATGCTTCAAATTTGCCAACCGAGCACATTGACTCTTCCTAGACCTCTCAAGAACCGCCAAGCTAATCACCCTCCGCTTGAGTCTCGTGCGCAAGTCTCGCTCCTCAGGAGAGAGAGCCCTTTCCTCTTGCGCGATGTCGAGGTGTAGAATCACAAGCAGGGCCGCATGGAGCTGAACCTTAGCCTTGGAGAACAAGTTCTTGCTCCACTCAGATAGACGGATCGCAGTTTTTTTAGCTTATGGTACAGAACTTGGTACGGCTCCGAGTGCCCGACGCGCTCGTCCCAGGCCTTTTGCACTACCTCGGAGAAGCCAGGCAAAGAAGCCCAGAAGGTTTCAAACTTGAAGGACCTAGGCCTTCTGGGCCCTTTATCATCAGCAAGCAGCAGGGGGCAATGGTCGGAAAGTGAAGATGACAGAGCATGTAGGACATGGGTGCTGAAGGTCGTATCCCACTCCGCATTGCAAAAGAAGGAGTCAAGCTTGCAGAGAGTTGGGTTGTTCCGCTCGTTGCTCCAGGTGAAGCGCCGATTCTGGAGGTGAATTTCCTTGAGCTCACAAGATTGTAACGCAGCCCGAAAACAAGAGAATCTTCAACCGGCGTAGTATCGTTTCTGTCTTGTTGGTGAACTGGTACATGGCAAGTTGAAGCAATTTTTGTTGTCAAAATTAAAGTACAGTAGTGGTCAAAAGTATTGGGAGAAGATTTATGTACACTTGATGAATCATTTCAGTTTGAATGGTTCACAAAACGATGCAGTTAGATTTCATTGCGGCAAGCCTAAGGCTCATACCCAAGAATAGCCATGCACCCAGACTGAAGAGTAACCGTTCTATCAACAATACAACAAACTCACTCAGTAAATTCATGCACAAAGACTGGTTGCGTTCACTTCATTTAGAATTTGCAAACACCAAGGTTCAGATTGCATGCTTTTGTCAGGTTTACTGCTTCAGATAGACTTCACTTAGCTAGTAAAATAGTACTACTGTAGGAAACTAATGATCATAGAAAAAGCACGCTAAATTGGAAAAAGTTCATCGATTTTGAAAAAAATCATTAAATTGAAAAAACTTCATTGATTTTGAAAAAAAGTTGATCTGATTTCAAAAAAAAGTTCATCGACTTTTAAAAAAGTTCATTGATTTTGAAAA